ACTAAAGTTGGGCAAAATGAAGAAAAGAGAAGCCGAAAGAAAAACAAACTGTGAATAAGAAGTTCCCCAACGAATACTTTTTGACGCGCCTGGGCCGCAATGCAGTTGGTGTCATTTCCACTTCCTAACCAAAAATGAACTTGGCGATGGAGGCAAAAGGTTAGGCAGTGAAGCCAAGAGGTCATGTCAACTTTGGTCAATCTGGGGGGAAACTATCGGGTTTCATATTTTATAGCATTCCTTATAATTATTAATTATTATTATTATTATTATTTGCATTTTGTACTAATGCTGAAAGCGTTGTTTTTTTTGGTCAACTTGCATCTTTCATCTCTACATATTCTTTATGAATACAACTTAAATATTTGGATTTAAAATGTTTTCAGCTCATAAGTAACTATTTACTTCTGGAAAAATATAAAATGATTTGTTTAATTTACAATTACTTTTCATTTACGATTTCATATAATAAGCACTTGGTTCAAAATTTCATTAAAACAACTTTGAAGTCATTATATTTTACCTGCAAGCCTTGAGTTATTACAAAACAAGCCTTAAGCTGGATCGTATTTCTATATAAATTATCTTTTGCAATTTTATAATACGGAATATATTAATATTTCAGGAAATGCAAACGCATAATTGTTTATTTTTATACAGTAAAGTTTTGATACCACTCAAAAGACTCCCTAATTATTTCTTAGTGACAGTAATTTCCTCTAATGTCGCCATTTATGGCAAACACCAAAACCAATCGAAGTCCCTACAATGGCACAGCTTAGCGGCAAGTCATTCGGTAGTCAGGGGGACTCTGTGTTCCCAACAGCCCCCAAGTGCTCCGAGTATGACTTGCAAATGCAGGCGCTAACCAGTGGAAAGATTTGCATATTCCCATTTAGAGTCGAGGCCATTACGTGCTCCTACACCCCCCAATCCTCGATCGCCACTGCCAGCTCCCAGCTTCATCCCTTCATCCCAGTAGATGACGAGGCTGGGGCAATTTTAGAGCTCCACGTAGCAGGGCCTAAATTATCTCCTGTTGCGGAGTCGCTGTTGGCTGGCTGGTTGAGTCCGGCCATTGTGAGTCTGTGGCCACATTGCGTATACGCCCGCTAGTCCCTCGTTAATTGCAATGTTTGTCATTTGCCTGTCAATTTGCATTTAAATTACAAAATTTAAACGCTCTTTTTGTTGCCATCCCAGGAACTTTACGACTGCCAAGATATGGACTGCGAGGAGCTGCAAAGTGGCAAGGTGGCAACGAGGCATTTGTCATGATGGCCTGGTCTGGCCCGTCCCATGGAGAGTCACTTAGACGTATGCCATGGTTGCCATGAGCCCGCTTAACCCAATCTTTTGTTTATGTGGATTCACAATGAGGCACGGCCATGGCCGCGTAACGTTTTCGGGCTAATTTTGTTGCAAATTGCAGGGCTGTAAAAAATGTGACGACGGCGGGGCTGAGCTCTCACAGCTCAGCGAAATTGCCGTGTACTGCTGGCAACTGGCAACTGGCAACCGAGAATTGCGAACTGCGAACTGGCAACTGCCGGCTGCCGACTGACCTCGAACTTTGCTCTCTGACGCGCGGGATGTTTGCCATTTAATTAAAGCGACACCCAGCCAAGCGCCGCCCCGCCAATCCCACCCACCGCTCGTCCTTATTCCTGTGCGTGTTGACCTTATTATGTTGACTTTGTGTGCAGTGCATAAACTGTGATAAAAATCGCATATTCCACGCGGCATTGCCCGCCCTGCCTCCATCCTTCCTGCTAGATGAACGTGCCACCCCCCTTTTTTAAATGTCTATAATTTATGTTGGCAGTTAAACTCGCTGGCTGACTTCAGCCTTCCTGCTGCTCGGCTTTGGCTTTTGCCTCTTGCTCCGGCTTTGGCTTTGGCTTTTGCCTTTGCCTTTGCCTTTGCTTTCCTTTGCTTTTGCCGCTGCTTACAACAATTTGATGGCATATAATTATTAGTTCGTATAATTTATGGCTTCATTTTGGCTCACAAAGTTGTGAGCTGGCTTGTGCCTTGCCTTGTGTCTTGTGCATTTCAAGTTGAGTTTGCTGGAAGCAAAGTGGCATGGGTGCGGGCACGGGCACCGCTGCTGATTTATAACTAATTTTGCTGACATTTTTATGAGCCATCGAGAGTGCAGCTGCAAGTGATTTTAATCAGTTCGAGCAATATGCAAGAATATGAAAAGAAATTTGCTTTTACCCGTCAAAGGGAAATCGAATTTCGCTTCATCAAAGCAGAGGAAGGAACATAAACATGACGATAAATGCAAATTCATATTGGGGAAGTTCATAAGAAGTTTTCCCTTTCCTACTTTGTGTGTTCAGTTAGTTATGCAAAATTATACAAGAAATTATCTTAACTATAATAAAGATTGCTTTAAAAATATAAATATTTTTAAATGAATTCTTAACGAAGTAAAAAATTCAGAATAACTCCCAATAAATAAACATCCTACTAATGGATTTCCACAATAAATCCTATATATATATTCTTACCTGAACAGCAAAGAGAAGACATAGAAAACATTCACTTAACATTCAAATATTTGTACCAAGCTTAATTTAAGGTAGAAACAAATAATTATGTAAGAAAAGTCGTACAATTTTAAGCCAAAAGGTCTGTGGCTCCACTGTTCCCAAAGTTCTGCCGATGACAAATTTTGGGTTGTTAACCACCGTCGCCGCTGTTTCTGTTTGCGGTTGCAGCCGCCGGTGGCTTAGGGGTATCCGCGGCAAAGGCTTGGGACGAGATGAAGGACCTTAAGTGAGTGGTTTTTGGCGAGCATGTGAGCGTGTGGGGCAATCAAACGCAAGAATGCTGCTAACCACTCATTAAGGGGATTCAAGGGGGTGCGCACAAAGGCAAATTGTAGAGTCGATTTTTTTGGAGGCAACCTGCAACATGCGATGACGACGTCGATGTCGATGGCGATGGTGAACTTTGAACTGTCACCGAATGCTTCCCCACATTCTCGGGGTGTTTTTGTATTCCATTCATTATTTTTTTTTTGTTCTTTTGCACGTTGAACTTTGAAGGCGTCGAAAAGGCCTAATTATCTTAATTAATGAGAGCCAAAGCGAATTTCGTGGAAGACAAATGTACCAGGCTGTCGTGCGACTGGTGGCTCGGTTGGGTGGCTTCAGATGGTTTGGGGTGGTTTGAGGTGGCCCGGTGGCTTTGTGGACCTGCTGCTGCCTGGCGGCATTCACTCAACGGTGCAAGGACGTTCTGTGGGTGCCATTTTAATTGTCTCCGCCCGCCAACCGCTACGCTCCGCACCGTCTGCGCGTCTGCCCGTCTGTCTGCCTTTGTATATACGGTTGTGTGTGTGATTTTCATTAATTTTACTTCGTTTTTACCATTTGCGAGCGTCGGTGGCTGCGGCCGATTTTGGTTTATGGCCTCGCTACCCGCTCAGCGCTTTTCCTGCCGCTTTCCCTTATTTTCCCGCTCTTTCCCGCGCTTTCCTACCATTTTTCCCAGCTCGTTTTCGCCTGCTGTCTGTGTGCGGTTTTTGGGTTCGCCGCAAAACGACGCAGGAAAAAGGCTCTGGCAAATGCCCGCCAGGCAATAAGTGGAAAAGCGTGCTAGGTGCCAAGGAAGAAGAGCGAACGAGCGGGGAGGAGTACACGAAGGAAATGGTAGCTGGGAAAACAATAATAATGAGGCGCCATACAAACACACGCTGCAACACTTTGGCCAAACAAATTGTTAAATGCCACTGCTGAAGCGGCGAGTTCTGGGCCATGTGGAATCCATGTGGGGCTGTCTGCCGGTGTGAGGCATAACCCACACAAATCTAGGGATCTCTTGTGGCTGTGGATGGTGATTTACAGTCCCCTATTTGGCTGAAGAATGCACGGCTAGAGGAGTGATTAACGAGTGTGGAACACATGTTGAAGAAATAAGGAACAATATTTGTTTCAAGCAAAGTCCCAGGCAAAGTTAAATTATTGTTTATTTTGTTTATTTTTATCTGGAATTCATGAATATTCATGCATATGGCTTGTGGCATCTAATTCTCTATAAGGACCATTATGGTTTATATTCTCAGAGATAAGGTTTTGACTTAAATCTACTTATTTATGGGATACAATTCGATTACATGTTCCCTCTGCTTTTATAACATTTAAACAGACTGTCAGCTGGCTCAAAAATGCATAGATGGAATGATTGATGAGGGCGGAACCAAGTGTGGACTCCATGTCGCTGTTGACAGTTTTTGTTTATTTTGATGGCGGGCACAATAAATGGAAATTCCCTCGGCGGCACGTGCGGGTATTTGAATGTGTGGATCGCAAGTTTGTAACTTGTCAGAATGCCACTAATTTTGGGGAAATTTTCAATCTCCGATTCTCTCTCACTTTGTTCCATTACCAAATCGTTTCGATTCGAGAACTGCGCAAGCTCCTTCCAAGCTGGAAAGCCTTCTCTAACGGGAGAGTTTAAGCGAGAGGGAGAGAGAGAGTGCAAAGAGAGAAAACGAGAGAGCTTTCCTCGTGTGGATCGCATTGGAACTAGCACAAGACGCCTGCCATTTTTCCCATTGTACTTGGCCAACTCCTTTGTTGTTGGCCATTCCTACTCCTGGGAGTACCAAGAGTCGGCTCCTTCGGCTCGTCTGAGTGACCTGCAATGGCTGCGTCAAGTGCCGATTGACAACTGACAACTGACAGCAGAGTCAGCCCACAGAATGGGGCTGGGCCCGGCTTTAATACTTTTATATCCGCGTGGGGAGCGGAAATGATTTTTTCCCACAAGACGAAACGGGAATTTACAGGGCACTTCAGTCCTAAATACTTAATGGGACTCAAGTATATGAATATTGTGGATATATGACAGGGATATAACATAGAACGTACCATAGTTTAACCAATATTTTCCATTAGAAAAAGGGTTAATAATTTTATGTCCGAGAAGATAAGCTCGACGATGTCTAAAGTATCAGGATATATATAAAAACTACCTTCTTCAACTGTGGTATGCAGTAATTTCACTATATTTCATTCATAAACACAAAAATCGCTACAAATTATAAGTGGAAATAACGTTTGTTACACTTGAAGCAGTAGTTGAATTCTGTTAAATATTTATACAGCTTTTCCTTGGCATTTTGTATTACGATTTCGTTGGCGATTCAGATCATCATCGTGGTCGGTCTGGGTGGTGGTCTGCTTCCACTCTATTAGGCGGCGGTGGACTGCTGTTGCTCCTGCGTGGTGCTGGTGGAGGCAACGGCCGACGATTCCGGTGCCTTCTCGTTAATCGCCAGCCAGGGACAGCGCTTCTGCAGTTCCATGCGGTATCTGGGATGGCTGATGGCATAGACGAAGGGATCGATGCAGGCCACCATTTTGCAGGCGCAGGCTGGGATCATGGTGGCGCCCGGGGTCAGGAGACTCTTGTCCCCGAAGGCGCCAATCAGCGACATCACTCCGTAGGGGGTCCAGGAACAGAAGAACAGGAAGCAGATCGTGATGGCCGCCTTGGCAATCCTAATTTCCGCCGTCTCCTTGCTCTTGTCCACATTCGAGCGCAGCGAATCCACGTTCATCTTCTTGGCCTGATCCCTCAAGGCTTTCTCGTGGCTAAAGACGTGGCCCACAATCTGGGAGTAGTAGTAGGTGATCATCGTGGTGGGGCACACGAAGCTGAAGAAGAAAATGCAGCCCACAAAGAGGCGGGTATCGAAGTTGTCGGTCAGATAATCGAAGGTGCAGGAGGTCAGGTAGCCCTCCGGCACGAAGCGACCCCACGTTTCCGTGTAGCAGGCCACCACCCACGGGGTGGCATACATGTAGATGAAGATGATCATGGCAATGGCCTTGCCGTGCGTCATCTTGCCCTCCATGGGTCGGGTGATAACGTTGAAGCGGTCGTAGGCTATGAAGGCGTTAGTGGCACCCGCCGCAATGCCCGTGTACGAGCCAATGATGCCGAAGATCTGGCACCCCAGGTGCCCCAGGGCATAGCCCTGGTGGAAGCTGTTGTATATGAATATCGGCGTTTTGACCATCATCATGAAGTCGCAGAAGGCCAGGTTGATCACCAGTATGTTTGAGGGAGTACGCAGCGACTTTGCTGCCGAGAAGACCCAGATGACCAGCCCATTGCCCAGCATTGACATCAGCGTGAAGAATATGTAGAGAGTGCCCAGCAGGTAGTTCATCGACTCGGGCGGCTCTGGGTACGTAAGCCAGTGCTCGGGTATGTGACGCAGCTCCTCTGGCGGAACATTCCAGCCCAGCAGGCGCGACTCCGCGGACAGGCGCGGCTCCGGCCGTAGCACGGAGGACACGTTGCCAAACAGACTCGCCGACACGTTAGCGGACTCCATGCTCCGGTCTTTGGGCCAAGACGAAATCACTCCCGGCAAGGGCTCCAGCTTTTATACGGCCAACTAGCCCCTCGGAATTGGATTAGCAATGCACAAGCGGGGATTAACCGGCGTGGATTGGCCTAATCCGTTGTTGACATTTTCGCTGGCACTGCAGTTGCATTGATTTGTTGTCCGTTTCTTGGTTTTTCTCTGCCGAAGGTCAGTGTTGTGGGCATTTTTTGGGGTAGAAACCGAATGAGTGCGTAGGTATTCAGTATTAATGTTGTTAAGTAACTAAATGGGGTATTTAAATGAATATAAAAAGTTATTTCCACCTTCAATTAATTAAAATAACATCATGGAACAGCTTCAAACCACTTTAGTTGTCTGTTTTTCTTCAGTTTTAAGCTGTTTTCAAATTCTAGAACATTTTGACAGCGATTTAAACTTGAACTAGAAGAGACCGCCATATGGAACGACATTCGGTCCCATAAGCGAGTGCAGCTCAGTCGAGCGTGAAAAGAACTTTGCTGCCGCCGAGGTACATTTTCTAAATTGCTTGCCCCAAAAGTCAGCTTGAAAAAGTTTTGTGCGCTATCCTATCTGATCTGCACATACATATATCGCATGTATGTATATATTCCCCGTTCGACGGAGGGGACTGAGATGGGTATCCGGCGCCATAATCAAAGTGTAGCAATTGGGCTGGGGCCACGCCTACTTATTAACTCATAAAACAAAAAGTGTAGCATACTTTGGCGCGCGTCCCAAGACGACACACACACACCCACATCTGTGGCTGAAGCCACATCCACAGCCGGAGCCAGAGAGCAATGTGTGTGTAATTATATGTGTGTGAGCAGCAACAATTTAGGTCATAAATCATATGGAAAAAGTACACAAAGGCATGCAAATATTCCCCAATTCCCCGTCAAGCCGACAATCACACATACACAAGTTGCAAACCTACATACGAACGTTTCATTGTGTGTGTGCGTGCTCGTGGTGGGAGCTGAAAGGGGGAGGGGATCATACGTGTGCATATGCTAAAAGTATGTGCAAAGATTGATTTCCCTTTGTTTGCCTTTTAGTGTGTGAATGTGTTCTCCTCCGTATTCACCTCAATTCCGCAGGCCTACGCGATGCCATGCCATAGCCCCAACCCTAGACCACCAAACCCGCCTGCCCTAAGCCCCAAGCCCCCTCGCAGAACAACCCAAGACCAACCATCCACCCCCCCGCGGTGTGCTACGTACATCAACTACATACATCGCCATGGGTGGTAATATTATATGCTGAATGAGTTGCCTGTTGAAATAATATGTTATATTCACTTGATTTCGATTTTTGCCTTCGCCCTTTGCCTTCCGCTACAGTTTTATATGCCCTTTAAAAGGGTATTATTCTAGGCATTTAGTATCTGTAGGTTCAATTGTAAAAATAATAACAATAAAAGGGTAGAAATTAAGTTTTTACAAGAAATTTAAACGTGAAAATTGATTTAATTTGTTTTCTCTTTTCCATCAGCCGTTTATATTATAGAATCTATTTCAAAAAAATAAACATTGTATAATTGTAAAAATGTTATGTAAGAAGGCAATAGTGATCGGATGATAAATATAATTTAATTTGAAAATAAATCTATTAAAAATGACATAACAAATTATTTGTATCAGGTAAAAGTTTATCTCTTAAGATATTAAATCTTCCATAATTCCAATTTGTCAAGTTAAAACGAAGCTCTCACATTATTTCCGTGTATATAAAATTACAAGCCTACCCCAAAGGGTACTCTATACTTCGGTATTCGAATATAACCTTATTTTTATCCGTTTGCATTGTTTTCGTTTTTTGGTGGCAAGGTGAATGACTCTGTGGGGACTTTGGCTGCCAGAGCGCGAGGAACGTAGTACGAATCTAGTGTGGATTTCCATGTAATTAAGGACAGCTGTCGGCGGGCCGCAATTCCCTGGTGTCAGTGGAGCAGTGGAATCTCCCCAACGGAGGCGGGAAACCGAACTGAACAGAGCTCCCACTACCAGCTTGATTAGTGTAGAGCATAAATGGAACATGTGCTCCAAGCGGAGCAAAAGGTGGAGCTGCCATTTCCACTTTGTCAATTGTCACAGGCACTGATTAAATGATTTCATTAAGCGATTGCTGCCCATTCGGACAGTGCCAATTAATGAAAAGCGGAAATAGAAATTGAAGTTGATAAAAAAGCTCGACAGCTGTAAGCGTAATTGCTAAGTTAGACAAGGAGATGGTTTTGTTGTTCTTTTACGGCTGTAGGATGCTTAGGAAATAGTTAATTTTTTCTTTTTGAAACTTCTCAAAAAACTATAAGCAATGACATTGCATGCCTTTTTTTCTGAAATTAAAATTTCTAAAAAGACTTTATAAGACATGACATATTTTGCGATAGAAAATATGATTTCTTATTTTTATTAATCTTTTAATCCTTTTCAAAAAACAAGAAAAATAAGTAAACTTCCCCAAATAATATTTACGATAAAATGTATTACTCAGAGTCCTCAAATTTCATTTTATTAAATTTTATGTTTTGCTTGTTAAGCATTTATGCATAATATTTAGGTAAATATCAATGGTGTCTCTTGGTGCACTCTGAATTAAATCCTGCATACCAGATTTGCAAATAGATTATGGTCGGCTTAAATTGCGGTTAGCCATAAATCCATTCCTGCTAAATGCAAAGAAGATTTGTGAAATTTTTAGCATTTGCAGCAGGCCATTCATTAATTGGTTTAAGATATACAACGACATGGACACGGACATGGCCGACGGGCAGCAGCTGCTGAGCAAGCACAAACCAATTTGCAGTTTGTAATGAAAAATTTCGGCAAATCTGGGAAAATTCGAATATTTATTTGCATTACCACCTGCACTATTTGTTCGCACTGGCATACCAAACCCATGCACTCAGACAATTCCTCATATTACTCATTCGTGGCGTTGTGCAAAGTCTAGTGTATTCGAGTGTATACTTGTGTTTGCGGCTGTCTGCAGTCTCCAGTCTGCACTAAATGTGGCCCATATGTGGCTCCAGGACCTCCAGCTATGGCACGGTAATTGATTATCAAATTCAGCGTTGCATTTTGCCAGTGCCGCCGCCATTCCATGGCTCCAGGCCATAAACGGGGTGCTAAGGGGGTGAAATGTAGCATCGCAGCATTGGCCACAAAGCCCCTTTGCAAGCCAGCTGCTCTTGGCTCCCGCTCCTCGATTACTTTTCGCATTCACTTTTTTTTCTTCTTCTCGTTGGCATAAAAAACTTTGCTGGCCTTTTTTTTTTGGCATGCTAAAAATGGGCTCAGGGGAGGCGAGGCATGTGTGCATGTGTGTAAAACTGCTGGAGTAGCGAGCATATTTTTAATGTGCAAAAATCTGTGAAATTTGTGCTATGTCGCTTTGATTGCAGTTTGGTGAACATATTTTAATGTGCGTATGTGAGTGTGTGTGTCTTGTAGAAAAGTGAAAGAAATGAATTCACTTTGGGAAAGCTTATGTGCGCCAAATGGAAAAACTTTTTACAACTATTTCCCGCATTAGAAAATCTATTAAACAGCAAAGCAGCTAAAAAAAGATAACATTTTGAATGGATTAAACATATTAATTTTTAATTGGCATGCGATGGGTACGCGTCAGCGTTGCGGATAATGGGTATTATCCGGCTCGAAGGACCAAAGTCAAATTAAGCTACTAATTGGTGTGAACAATAGATCCAACTGAGAATGGATGTATCAGTGTAAACGGTGCTTTAACTAAAATAAAATAATTATAATTTAATAAAGTAAACAATATGTATAAAGAGACAACAATGTTTTTCCACATTTGAACATCCTGCTTTAGTCCCTATAATCCTAAGGTCCTTATAGTTAGGAGAACATACTCTGATCATAACTTGTACCTCTTAAAATGAATTAAGTAAAATACAATATTTTAAATGTACCTCAATTACAAAAGTGTGTTTACGGTCCTTCCCATTTTTATATCACACATGTTTACTGATTAAAGCAGTCATAATTAAATATACATTGCTAATAAATTGACCACAAAGCTTTTCATACATTTATACATTGTAGAAATTCAAAACTGTGATATTGTTCATCTGCAAAGCAAGCACTTGGTTCATTCATTAAATATTCATTATTTATCTTACCTGCTATGATCCCATTACTGTTTTGTTAGCATTTAATATTGCTGCCATATCAATTCGATTAGCATGATATCTCGACACTTTCAATCAATAATTATCCGCCAGTTTGTTGATATTCAATTTTGACCCCCAGACCGTTTTTCCAATAATAACTTTTCCGTGTGGATCTTGATGGTGGCCAACCCACAAAACTGAACCTCCCTTCCGGCCCGGCTAATACAAATACAAAGCCATTAAGGCATCTATTATTCAGCGACTGAGCGAGAGGGCAGCAAAAAATGCATGGAAACCCGTTATTGTTATCAATTCTAATTAATTAAAATGAAATTTGGTTGCGGCACCAAATTGAACATTTTTGCAATCAATTGAAATTCAATTAAAATACGTTGCCAGCTACTATATAGTCTTGTATTCAGCCTACCAATACAAATCAAAAAAAGGGTTTCGTTAGGGCCAAGAGAGTATATAAGCAAATGTGTATATAACGCCAATATATATGCATGTAAAAGTGTGCGGCAGCCATTAGGCAGGACACCAACACAGTAAAATTACGCAAAACGAAATCCATTTAGTTCAATTAAATTTATTCATCAATTAAAAACAAAAGCTAAGCAACGGCCACGGCAACAAAATGGACCGCATAAAAAGCGAATTTCAAATTGATTGCGTACAACGGAAACGGAAATGCGAGCACGCCATTTAGGCGAGCCTCCAGCCAAAACTTTCCGCTCCGCCGTTACTACCACGGTCCTAAGCATAATAAACTTGGTTATGCCGCAAATTATTCAAGCGAAACGCTTGACTGCACCACTTCTTCGAGCGAGAACTCGGCTCCTCCGGCCACTCACAGCTCG